ATTACGTAAGAATAATTATCTTATTCGGATAAGTAGTTTCTTTGATTGTAATGATAAAATTTATATATATCTTTGATCTATTTTTGTCGTAATACCACTTAGAAATAATGATCTTAATACAGCTAATAATATTATTATTATTATTTTTTTTTTTTTTTTTTTTTTATGAAAATGTAATAAAAAATTAAATTCTTTAAATATTTAAATTCAATTTTGAATCTTTAAAATGAAAATAAAAATTAACTTACGGCTTTGGATAAAGTCATAATGCATCTAAAGTAACATTGGAGTTTTGGATCAGGTGGAAATTCGCCTTTTTGCGATGCATTATCCAGTAATTCTGTAAAGATTTTTCTACATAGCAGTCATTCTTCATTTCATAAAAACGAACTGATAATTATTTATAAGTGTTTAAACTGTTTTTTTTTATTGCGGAAAAATTAAATGTATGAGCTCATAACATTGAAGTAAATATTTTAGACACCACTGCAATTTGCGTTTTTAATGAATTTTTTGCGACAAAAAATTACATCTAGCTTGTTAAATATATCAATAAATAATCGAAGGTGTTTTTGTATATTTATGTACCTGTCGTATCTTTGATCCTTGAACTAATATTAAAACGAAAATAGAAACAACAAAAAAGTAATTTTCTTGTTCATAAATATTCAATATTATACTACGCACCTTTCGAAGCACCTACTTGATTCGCGCAAGTTTTTCTCGCCGATTTAATTGCGGTTCTTATTTGCTCCATAGACATTTTTTTCTAACGTTCAAATAAAAGAAATTCGAAGTTATCAATTAAATTCAATTTTAAAATTAGTATTAATTTGTTGTGTTAGAATATATCGTACGAAAAGAAAAAGAAACTCACACTTTCCGCGTCGTGAAAATTCGCCAGAACGACGATTAGGATGACGAAAATAATCGCAGCCTTCATTTTGTCGATTAAAGTAGATCCTTCTGGATATTGTTGTTTATTCGCGTTTTCGTATAAATCGTTGATTGGAATAAAATAAGAAAAAAATTGATTGTGCTTTTCACGATGAATTTTTCAACAACGACTTGTCTTTGGAAACGTTCGGAGCTTCTTTTATAACGTCCTTTAAAATCGTATCAGAGGGAGAACGGACAATTTTCGTTTCCTTCTTTCTATGGCAGGTACGAATTTAATGTCTCGAACCATTTCATTACCCTGCAATTTGATATCACGTTTGGTGCCAGCATGACGAACGTGTCTATAATATGTATGGAATATAATAGTATACATATATGTAATATTTCTTTCCACCTTCATTTCCCAAACCTCGACATTTAAACGTTGTCTTTTTTTTCTTTTATTTCCCTCGTTTATTACACAATCAAAAAATTTGCACGTATAATTTGGATATTATTACGAATACAAATTTGCGATATCTTATCGAATGTAAATGTTTTAATATAATATTTTTCATTTCCAATTCGTGACAATATTCAAGCTTAAAACAAAGTCAAACAATAGAATTAATTAATCAGGTATAAACATTTACAATATTTTAGTAATAATAATTCATTATGTGAAGTCATTTAATGAACAACGTACGGTAATATAAAATAGCGTGTAATTTTATAATACGTTTTATTTATAATTTTTTGTACAATCAAACAAATAAGATTGTCTTACAAAACAAAAATCGTATTATAATTATTTGTTTAAATATAAATCAAACGATGATACTCAAATGAACGAATGTTCGCATGATCGATCGAAACATTGTCTTCCTCCATTCTACGATCCATTGGACGATATTTCTTGATGGTTGTTTTCTTGTTTATTTTTTATTTGAAAAATTGGATTTAAGGAAAGAAGAAAATATCAGGATTTTCATTGTAATTACACTTGACGTAGTTGAAGGCCGTCACGCATATGTCGTCGGCAGGTTCTGCGCGAAACGTAACAACGAGATAACAATATTTTCTTTAAAGCTATTTTACCCGAACATTTAAAATTCCCTCTTTGTTTCGTTGCTGTTATTTGTTTAATTAAAACTTACCCAATGCTCCGCACTTTTTTGCGGAAGCTTTCATTGCATCCTGCATGTCGACCGGCATCATCATCTCGACTTGTTTGATCACCATATCAACATCCACTTTTTGATTTTTAAACTTAAACAAAATATACAAATTCATTTCTACAAATTCGAACGAAAGAATTTTCAATTGTGTGTAGAACTATTTACAAAATTTTTCCACCTTCACGTTGAATAAAAAGTCAATTTTATGATACTTTACCGTGCGAATTGTTTTCATAACGCACTGCGTGTAGCACTGTAAATCGTGATCCTCCGGAAATTGCCCAGTCTTCAATCCATCCACGAGTTCTACATTTAACAGATACGAATCGATTTTAAACATTTTTCACGTACATATAGAATTCAAGATATTATACAGAATCTTTCAAAATATGTAAGAATACGTAATATGATTAATTAATGTGACTTCATTTTGAACAAATAGCAAAATGATTTTCTAACGTTTCACCTGTTTTAACACCGGTCTTCGTTATACAACTATTTCGAATTCCTATAGCTGTTTTTTGCATTTGTTCGAGCGTCATTGCCTACGTTATAAACAAAATTATTAACGAAAGAAAAAAGAAAAAGAACACAAAAAATAAAATAAAACGAAATGTTCACTTGAATTTCAATTGAGTGTTTAGAATAAATACACTTACACCGTCTATCAATCGAAAACGTTCGAGAACACATCCGAGAATAAAAATCGTAAGAACAAATCGTTTAAATAGATTTCTATTAATACTCGACATTTTGAAATGAATTTACGATACGAGATTCTCAATGATGCGACACACACTGGATCGAACTGTTTAGAAAAATACGAAATACGTTTTCTCGAGTCTTTTTATAAAGCGTTCGAGTTTTTCTCAAATTGAGGGGAGGAATTTCAACGTATCCTTAACGTACCGTCTCGTTAATTCGTAATTCTATAGAATTTCTTTACAATGGATATCCGTATTTTTCCCTATTGACGACATCTTGCATGATCTTTATGTAATAACAAACGAGCGGTTTTCGGGAGAACGTAGTTGGTATTTAAAGTAAGCTCTCGGATTATATTACGTATAATAGCAAATCTGATTAAATATTTTTCTTCTTTTTTTTTATTTATAACCAATTTTTCAAATGATTTTTACCTACGATGAGTAGGTATGCACGAAGTGTTGGTAGGTTTAGCGTTAAGAATATGCTTGTCCTTGAAGGAAAAAGGATTAGATAATTTAAGGGAAGCACGAGTTTGGCAAAATTTGGAGACTCTTTGCTTTAACCAACCCCTTTCAGGTCCTCCTCTCTTGTAGGAGCGTTCAATACCACGTGACGACTCCTCTTGCTAATGTCGAACCCTTGTATCTCGAGAGGCAGCCCTACACACAAAAGAAGAAGCATCTGTCCGGACGAGAAACTACTCCGTTACTCCTTCTTCTTCTTTTTCTTTTTCTTCTTCTTCTTCTTCTTCTTCTTCTTCTTCTTCTTCTCTTAAGCCATAAACGCGCCATTACTCTGACGGTTGCTGGTTGGCCTTTCTCAAGAAGCTCGATAATTACATTTTTTTGTCTTCTTCTTTTTCTTCTTCTCTCTTTCTTTAATCGAAAAGTAAATCCCTCCCCATTGCTATTAATTTCCACCTGATCGTTTTCTGCCTGGACGGATCTCAATAACGAAGGTCATTCTTATTCGAGTCCTTATCTTCAGTAGTCTTACGAATTTTTTCTTCAATTCCCTAATTTTTATAAATTACTGTTACTTCTTACTTTGATTATTTCTTTTTCTACTTTAGATCTATCTTTCTTATATTGGACTTTTTATTCTTTTCGAAATATTTCTAGGGTATTTTAATCAAAACTATACGCAAGTGTATGCATTGGTATAGGATGGAATTAATGTACAAGACGTTGGAATCGAGTAGAAGATTAGATAGATGAAAAGTTAATGTATTTCAATATTATAGTACATACTGCGTAGAGAGAAAGTTGAGATTTATCATCTCCTTTTTTTCCCGGAAAGAAGAAAAAACCTTCGTTCAAAACGTCATGGAAGGGAGGGAGGGGGTGGGGGAGAATGTATTTTCTATTTCTTCTACTCGAAGTAAAAGAAAGTATAAATAATATTATTGATTAGAATATGATTGATTTAATATTTATTTATCGAAAACAAATTTTATGGAAAATCATGGGAGGAGAAGAGAAGAGAAAAGAAGAAAGTGCGGTGAGGGGGGGGGGGAACACGCGGGTGGAACGGTAAAGCGAATAAACGAGTATTAGATAATTATGTATTTTACGTATTTAGATGAACTCGAGAAGAAATCGTACAAACATGAAAATATCCTTAGAGTTCTGAACGCTCGGCATGAGAATAATATGACGTCTAAAGCAATAACGCCAACGGCAACGCCACCCGAATTAAACACCTCTTATGAACCGGTAATAAACAGTGCACTGTGCTGCCTTTTCTTATGCAAAAAAAGACATTTGCACAAGTAATGTATTCTTAATATATTTAATCATCCGTTTCGTTTTTGTTCTTTCTATTATATAGTAGGTATTTTCAATATACTATTTTTTTTTTCTTCCTTTTTTTTATCGACGCATATGAAGGAATAATAATTTTACCGGATAAAAAGACCAAATATTATGGAGAAGATAAAAGCTAATCGTTGTTTTTGTCTATTTCACGATTATATCCAAACGAAAAAAAAAAACTTGTTGGAATCAAGGTGAAAATAAAAATAAAGCAGATCTTTTTATATATATATATATATATATATATATATATATATATATAAAAAATTATTTATTTCATCTACTTCGTGCGATTTTATTTAAACGAGACATAAAGAAATATAAAAAAAGGGAGTGGGGAAAAATAAAAAATGATAGGGAAAATGTGATAACTTGTAGTGTGTTCTTCGTTACACATCCGGCACACATAGATACCTGAATGCATACGAAGAAATAAATCAACGTGACTCACAAACTCGTTTTTCCTTTAACGTATTGGACAAACAAAAATAAGTTAATATTAAAGTTAGTTTAAAAAAAAAAAAGTAAAAAAGAAGAATAAAAACAATATAAGTTGCATTACCAGTTCGTGTTTATAGTACTCATCGCTTTTATCATTTAGGTTTCATAACTATTTCTTTCTTTTTCTCTCATTTGTTTTTGTTCCTTCTTTTTTGTCTTTTTAGTTCTCGTGACTAGAGTTTGTAACAGGAAATGACTAATAAACGATTTTGTGGCATATCACTGAACGATTTTTTCTCGTATGCTTGACAGATGGTAGCTCATGTACGATGATCGCACACTCCTACACGTTTCCTGAAACAACAACGAATAGTTTCGTTTAGCGATAAACAAATCAAGAGTGTAACGCTCCTTAAATCACAAACATTCGTACGAGCTCAAAAGAGACATGATATTATACGTTCGTTCCGATTGATAGCCATTGTTACGATTCAATTCAATGAATTATAAAAGTATTCAATACTCAATATTACTTGTCGTTCGATATACATTTATTCGGGTCGTTATCTTAATAAGATATTAATCGTATTTTCATTATTCATTCATTCTTTCTAATTAGAAATGTGCAATACAATGTAAACAAAAATATATGTACGAATTTATGTAATATTTATTCAATTAGTTTATAAGTAACTTTTACAATTTTGTTCTTTTCTTTCTTAATTAAATACAATATTTATCTATAATTAATATTGAATACAATATCTAAAAGATATATTAAATCATCATTTGTTATATTTTATCTGATAAAGTTGAAAATACATGTGTAAATGTAAGGATTAAATGTTGAAATGAATAGAATTATTTAATGACTGATGAAATCGGTTCATTAACAATACATTTTTGATCACGTAAAGTACTTAGGTAGGATAACGTAATACGTATTTTGGTTGTTCTCTATATAGGAACACTCGAAACATACGTGTGATACGGATAGATAATAATAGTACTTTAACACACGAAGTCGAGTATGGTCAAAACAAAGGTAGATAGTAACGAGACGTGACATGGGCCAATTAACGAGAGTCGATCGTTTTGATTTAATTGCTGCTGAATACCTATATAGGGATACACGTGTATGTGTTGTATATTTTGCGAGGGGAATAATCGTGCTTTTGTATCACGTGTATGTATATACGCGTGTGCGTGCACGTGCACGTGTTATGTATATCTGTTACTCGCGAATCGTATTTTATCTTGTGTCACGATAATATTCATGATATGGCAATGAAGGAACGAACGTCGTAAAGTTAATTAAATAATAAATTTTCATTATAAATCTTTTATCATCTAATTTTTTTTCTATTCCAGTTTATTATACAAATTTAATGCAGTTCTACAAAAATATATAAAAATATAATGATGGTTGTTTATTTTATTTTATTTTCTTATTCTAATTAGGAATTCTTCAATTTCATGTTTTTATATTGGAGTTCAGAGTTTATATTAAGAATCTCAACTATTTAAGAGTTTAATTTCAAGAATGATTGGGATTCAAAGTAGCTTAGAATGATGGAAATAATGAAAACATTTTTCGAGAAGGTATAAGAAACGTTTCATCTAACAACGCACACGATTACAAACCTCGTGTCCGCACGTTTATTAATACACAACGTGTTTTTTTTTTTTTTTTTTTTTTTTTTTTTTTTTTTTTTCTTTTTCATTTTTATCTTCCTACCAACTAACGCATATGCTTCTCGTGCAAAGAGAGAGAGAGAGAGAGAGAGAGAGAGAGAGAGAGAGAGAGAGAGAGAGAAAGAGAGAAAGAGCACTAGGTATATTTTGACTGCGTGATTCATTAGCACGTACGTCTTCGTTCCAAGCTTTGCATCCACGTGTGCTTTGCACCGTTTTTGGATCATTACTAAAATTATATATCGGCACGTTCTGGAAAAGTAATATAAACGCAATTCATGAATTCATTAAATTTCGATCGAACGCGAATTTAATGAATTACTTTGTTTTCATAAAAGTTATTTAAACAAAATAATATAAAATAAACTAAACGTATGAATAAAAGCGTAATTTATATATACAATCAAATAATAATAATTATAATTATTTCTATACGCTATATGAAGAAAAAAATAACAAAAATAAATGACAATTTGCTTGTTCTTTAATAAATACCTGGTAATACCAATACATACACCAATTACTTAATTAAAATTTAAGTATTTCAAAGAACTAAATAAACATAATCGAACAATCATAGAAATTAGGTTTAAAATTATGTATCATTTTTTAAGATACCTTACATACTTATATATGTTATAGGCAAAGTGGGAAATGCCAGGCGTTTTTAGGCAATGTAGGAAACAGAAAAATGATAATTCTCTAAAATGACACTTCTATAAATTGAAACTTATTCTATTCGGTGGGTTATTACCCACTGGTATTTATCGTAATAGAAGATTATTGCATTTTGACTGATATTCATAAAGATCACCATGGAAAATCTGTCTCTTTTGTTCCTTATCATAGCGGAAGATAAGTTAGGTTTAGAACGAAATGTTTCATATCTGCATTCTATTGAAAATCATTCGAAACGAATCGGAGATGTATTTCTTATTTTGCCGGTTTCTCATTTGTCATTCTACAGAACGTCTAGGAAATGTGAGATATATGAATTAATTTCCTACATTGCCGGTTAGTTTTAGGCCTAATGCATTTAGGCTTTAATGCCTAGGTATTGTTCACAATGCCGGATTGCCTATTTTGCCTATAACATATATAAATACACGTACAATGTGTTTATAACTGGTTGTTAATGTTTGCGAGCATGGTAGTGATAGTGATGATGGTGGTAGTGATGGTGGTGGTGATGGTGGT